CTTTCAACTTGGAACCACTTCTGTCATTGCCTGTCCATGACACGCAATTGGTTGAGACCTTGACCTTGAAAGGATTTGGAAAACTGCTCGACGTTCACTGACTGGCCTGTCGGATGGTTCGGTTAGGACTAAATAACATTAAACTGGTCCTAAAAGTCTATATTTATGTTGGAAATGACAAACAGAGGTTTTTACCGAACTATTTCATAAAAAATCATCATTGACTTTCATAATAAACTTCCAAAGTTAAAATACTAATATGTGAATATATCGTTCCAACTAAACTTGACAGTTATAGAAGACTGAAAATCTCTATCTGAGTTGTTTAGGATGAACCTAAACCAATTTCTTATATTTTTCCGGTTTACAGGGGAGAATAGAAGTTATGACACGTGGTGGTTAGGAGATTGTTTAAGTTAGTAGCAGGCGATGGTTTAAATGGATTCCTGTAGTCGATTCTATCGCTTCCGGTAGGAAATGGCGGGAATAGCAGAATTCATTGAACTGCTATGTCTCATTGTTTAAATGTATTAAAACACTAGTCCGAATGAGTATTTAGAGGAAATAGGATACTACTTAGCCAGTGTACTAGAGATCAGTGTACTTGAGATCACACATCTAATCTCAAGAAAGACAAAAAGAAACGATGTACCTCGCAAAAACTATTTAAGTATCCTCTAGCTACCTACCTATCTTGGTAAAAATTAAAGTTTTTTTCAGTAAGAAAATTCGCTGTCACACTTTATACCCTGTGGCAGATGTCGCTCTCCTGAGCTTACCTAACAGGAGAATACTCAAACAGTCACTCTGATGCGCCAGAAACTATTACGGGTTCACCTTACTCGATGAACGAAACCAAGATCAACAATACAGTGACACGATAGGTTATTATAATCAGTTTGTCCTAGCCCGTGGTAACCGGATTAAGGAGTCTTGTTAAGGCGTAGAGAATTTATTCTACAGGCAACGAGGTTGTTAAACACACAAATCAAGCTTATTTATGCAGTTTTGGAAACACCCTTGGGGAGAGCCACGAATAGCGTACTAAAATAATCCATCAACCAATGACAATCAAGGATCTTCCGAGTGTAAAATGAGAGCTGAAAGTCCGCTGGCTCGAAAACATAGAAATTCAAACTTTCGGAAATTAATAATATAACCAGGACCTTCCCAAGTGAGTTCTGCGGACTCATCATCAGATTCATCAGGCTGTAGATTGTTTTCAGTCTTCTTCTCATCAGGATTTCTTCTGAAGACTTTCAATCTGATAACGTAATTATAATAATATTTATTCTCATATACCAACCTTACAAGAGGCATTCCAGTTTACAGGCTAGATCAAATTGTCACAAATGCTTTCACATTTACTGTAAAAGTTATAGCACTGAAATGAAGTATAAGAGTCAGTTTCTGATAACATATTTACACCATGTCACCGACAGAAACAGTATAATACAGCCACATTTTCAATAGTAGATTACAAATAAGGAAGGTGCTGTTGTTGGTGGATGAAGAGACAGGAAGTTTTGGAACGCTTCAGCTGGTGTCCTCTCCCCTTTTGACATAACCGATGCTCTTTTAAACGTATCCACAAAGCTTTCTGAATGCCCATTCGACTGCAGGTGGTATGGTGACGACAGTAAGTGGTTGATGGCTAGCCGATGATAGACAGCTTGAAATTGGTTAGAAGTAAATTGTGACCCATTGTCGAATACAACCACATCTGTTATGCCATTTCGTGAGAAAATTTCAGTGAGGAGCTGTATTGTTATTATCGTATTACAGGGCTGATTTTTGGCTATTTTGAAAGGGTGTCGACCACAATAATAATAATAATGATACATAGTACAATTAAATTAGGACTTCCTCCAATTGAGTTCTGGGGACCTAACATATCCAGCACACTTGAACGCGGGATTAACCTGTATCCAGTGTACCCAAAAGTTATGATCATTTGTTGCATATCTAACCATACAAAGTTAATTAAATATTGACCTCAATCAACAAACCTCGGCACAAGACACGAAGATAAAAGTCTCGCCGATTGAACACACTGCATGGGCAAAAACCTACAGAACTGGCAAACTCAGTTTAAACAACTTGTTTGAAAACCCGATAATGGCTGCTGCACCAGGTGATGAGACAAACCACCGTGTTCCCCTATAACAACGTAAGAGAAGTAAGAGGGTAAGCTGTCAGAAATCAGTAATATGTGCTCTCAGATGGATCCGAAGTACACAATCCTAACTGAAACATAGTTGTCCGCTGACGAAGTGCGTCTGCATGGCATGACACTCTTCAGAAGCGATAAGGTACACCAGACAGGACGCACACTGGCCATATATACATATAAAAAACCATTTAAAAGTCGAAAGGTGATACGACACCCAACAAACTGAGGCGACAGAATCATTTTGATGTCGTTTCCACACAAATGGCACGAAATATTTGATTAGGGAACTTACTGGCCCCCCTCAGGTACTAATGCCCAGAAAGAAGAAAGTGAATGAGGCAGTACTGCAACTGCTACTCCTTCGGTTTGATCGAATACTTCTTGCAGGAAATTTCAACACCAAATCTCTAAATCTTAGCAAACAGGGTACAACTCCCACTGGTTGGTTCCAAAGACTTATCACAGCTATTCAAAGATTGAGACTGACTGAGCACGTATGCAGTACCACTAGCTGGACTGAGAGGGGAAAATTCTCAAACCTGGAATATTTGTTAACAAATGATCAGCTCCTTGTCAAGGATATTCACGCCCATACACCACTAAGAAGTAGTTACTATGGCACAGTCTTGCTTTACAGGATAGTAAACGAAACACGGGCAGGACGAAAACGAGCCCTACCTTCGCTATACTAGGGCGAATTACACGTGCACGAGAGAACCTTATATAAGCCCTACTGCCATGGTAATGGCGTAAGGTGACAGTAAATAGTTACTTGGAAACATCATTCAGAATGCTATCCTAAACGATGTGCCCATGTCACTCCACACATGGGTTGGGCGCGGCACTGAATGGTTGTCAAACGCGAAAAGGAGAGTTTGGCACAAGTGCAGGGCCTCCTTCAAGGATTCCCACAGTAGTTCTTACTCGAAATTGAGAAATAGATGAAATGCCAAAGTTCGAAGTGACAGGACACGCTTTCAGATGAAACTAGATGTTCCAATACTTGCAAACCCTAAGCATATGATTAGGTTCATGACGAAAACGAAACCTACGAATAAGGGTCTGTGTTCCCTCAAAGATTTGGAATGAGAAGACCTCACCAACGTATAGATGGCTGAGATCTTCAACACAAACTTCCGCGATCAGTTACACCAAGCATCCACATATCCAGTGTACTACGCAAACTCAGTTCCAGTTGACGGCTTAGGGAATATCCTTATTACTCCTGACTTGTCACTGAGATAACTTAAATATATACGACCAGGGAAGTCATCATGTTGTCGCAGTATTCGCCCCATAGTCTTGAAAAAATGTGCAGAAGCCCTATCCCCACCGATATGTGACCTGTTCAGGCATTCACTGGAGTCACATCAACTCGCAGTTGAATGGGGTCAAGCTACTCTCTCTCCGATATTCGAAGGAGGAGATAGGGAGGACACAGTCTGTTACAAACTAGTCGCATTACTACCAATACTATCAAAGGTAATGGAAGTGCTGGTCGACGAACAGGTAAGGGAGTACATGGAGAAGAATAAAATACTCCATCCAATCTTCTTATGGCATGTGAAAGTTGGACATCCTGTTGGGACCTGAAAATATCGGTGCATGTAATATTTGTAAACTTTCAAAAAGCTTTTGACACAGTACCCCAAGCACGCCTAATCACAAAGGTTGTGGCAATGGGCTTCACTGATCCACTCGTATCTTGGTTCAGAAACTACCTTGAGAATAGAAAGTTTAGTACCAAGATAAATAGAGTGCACACGAGCTGGCGAGTATCCCCATCGAGAGATTCACAGAGGACCATCTTAGGTCCACTTCTTTTCTCGATATTAATTAACGACCTTTCAGACACAGTTAGCTCACTAGCATTGATCTACGCAGACGATGCGAAGATGTGGAGGTCCATTAGAAGCGAAGAGGATTCGAATGTGTTTCCAAAGGATCTTACATCCGTTGAAGGGTGGGCAGTGATAAACGGTCTTAAAATAAACCAGTCAAAGTGTCACGCGATGAACGTTCTGCCACATATGATACAAACGATTAACACCCTCAATGGAAGTCCACTCCTTAATGTCTCATCAGAGCGCGATCTAGGTTAATTGACCACAGTAAACCTCCACACCAGCTCGAACTATATAGGGAACGCAGACAAGGCAAATGCAACTCTTCAATTTATGCGAAGACAACTTGGTGCCATCAATCCAGACTTATTTTTAATGTTGGTTATGTTATATGCACACCCATACTTGGAGGTTCACAACGTCATCGCACCCCCTCTTCATAAAAGAGACATAAATCTCTTGGATCCAGTGCATGGTCGGTCGACGAAATGGATGATAGGATTGCAAAATAAAACTCACGAAGATAGAATCCAGCTGATGGGATCATTCTTTCTGGACTGAAGGGGAATCAAGAGTGATCTGATTATGGCTTACAACATATTAAGCACTCCAAAACATCCCAACATGAGCTCATCATCACCACTGCCCTCGAGGCGATCACCGAAAATTTGCGCATCAAAGAGCGAATACTCAGGTTCGCGAACACTTTTTTCATTGCGAGTCGTCGCAACTTGGAATGCTCTCCCAGCGGAGGTGATCACAGCCCCTTCAGTGGACAGTTTTAAGAAGAGACTTGATAAACATGAACTCATACGGATGGACAAGCTACAGCCAACTGACTTGAATCAGAAAGTCGAGTGGCTAGACCCCCCACTACGAAATACCTGGGACCTTAGTGAAAGAAAAAGAATCGAGCGCAAAGTTACCAAATGGTTGATACTATCTCCTGAAAAAGATATTGGATATTGAAAGGTAGATATTGAGGAAAGTCCAAAGGACAAGGTCGTTGTCCCGTTTACATGTCTGCAGACACTGATTCTGTAGAACGCCTTAATAGCTATGTTAAACTTAATGTGGGTGGATGTTTATACTATACCACTATTGGAACACTTTTACGAGGTGGTACTATGCTAACAGCAATGTTTAGTGGTCGGATGGAAGTTAAAACTGACGATGACGGTAAGTGTACTGACTAGATTTGACACGTATACACACTTCCAATTAATGATTCTTGACCTTTTGTCAAACGCAGGATTTTACTCGCAGATTTGTAATTGCTAGTATACCCGAAGCCTAACGGTCTTTTGATTTATTTAAACAGAAATATTTAATTAACTTAATCATTTCATCTTACAAAGTGAATATAATTTATAAGTTTTGAAGTTACGCGGAGGTTTTAGAATATCAAGAGTCTAAATTGCGAGCTGATATTAGCTAAACCATCACTAAGGACTTCATTTTTATGAAGGATGTACAGCAATTCAAATTAACTACCACATATGCGGAAATTAGAACCAAGACCTCCATTCCTGAATACAAACGCCTAACCCCTATATCAGATCTGAGTCTAGCTGCAATCAGTCCGCTATATAACACATTTACCTCCCATTATTTCCAGTCGGTACTTTCCTGAAAGCCGACAAGACTAAACTAAATTAATCTCGATCTATCACTAGGCCTTTAGAAATTCCTCTCAGAAACAGTCACCAGTAAGTGCACGGTAATTGTCAGTATGGAGTTGTGGATTGCTTGAAGTTAAACGTTACTCTTAATACTATGGAATTTGAATTGATAATTCGATCTCTGCGTTAATGTGGTATGGCAACTTGAACTGATGTAACTGACTGACTGAGACATGAATGGTATCATATGCCGAGTCAGCGGCCTTAGTCCTCTAGTTACAACATAGAACTTCGTACGTACGTACATCAGTTCAAGTTGCCATGCCACATTAGTACGGAGACATAATTGTCAATCCAAACCCCATATTAGTAGAGATAGTAGACGTATTAGCATTATTCAAAAAGATTAACCGAAAGTAACACTGGATTTACAACTCTTACCTGTCAAATTAACATCTGGTATTCAGTGATCTAAGTAAAAGCTTGGTTTATAGGAGTCATTTGATATTACAAGATAGCGAAATAGTGGTGAAAGTTGACTCATACAAATATTACATCATTTAGAATAATGAGTTTCGAGATTGCATTTGCACAGCCTTTATCTAAACTTTCACGTTTGTGATTGTTGTTTGCCAGTTTTGTACGGTCATGAATATTTATTTAGTTCGTTGAATGTAGCAATTATTGATATTAATCTTTTGCCTAACCAGAGGTTATCAACCTTCATTTTTAGGCTGGGTACTTATTGATCGTAGTGGCAAGCATTTTGGAACGATCCTGAACTATATTCGAGATGGTTCAGCCCCTCTTCCAGAAAATAGGAAAGAGTTAGAAGAACTGGCTATGGAAGCCAAGTATTTCTGCGTTAAAGGTTTGTGCTTAGCTTGTGAAGAGGCTCTTGGTCGTTTGACAAATTACGAAGATCTACAAAATCGTGCAACTATTATTATCGTCAAATGTCCTAATGCAGCGAAATCTTTGCTTTCCACTACTCGTAAAGTAAGTATAGGTTATCCGGGTAATCCTTTTAAACATGCTGCCTATCTTTGCTTATAAACGGCAGTATTATTGATATACCATGTAACTTACTGTTAATACTCAGTAGTGTAAGAGGATACATAGCCGGTAGCTCTCATTGGTTATTACTTGTCCAAATAACTACATGAAGTGTAACTACTTTGCCGAAAAGGTAGAGTTATTTACTTCAAATCTTATCATGGGAAATGTATTGGTCTTTTCATTCTTTTCTTGCAGGTGCAATATATTAGTCAACCTGAGGACCATTTTTCATCATGTTACCTGACATGGTCTTAAATTTTCTAACATCCGTATCGAGATACCAAGTGTTTGCTGTGTGCTCGAGGGCTTAAAGTTGTGTGCGAAGGATGGTCTCAAGTGTCATTCAGCAATGATTTGAGATTGAAGTACTAGCTCTTATGCAACAGAAATAGCTCTCAGTCTGGTACATGACTGTACATAGTTATTCAGATGCATTATTATTTGGTATTGATTTGACTTGACATTCTTAAGCATCCCCAACGATTCGTTAGATGTTTGTATTCAATTTAGTCGATTATGAAGGTAGTAACTCCTAACTTTTACGGACTTGTTCTTTTACTCACAGATATCGGTTTACTTAGATGTTATAATATGGTTAAGGAATGATAAGGTGTACAATCATTTTCGTAAATCATCTTACAGCCCATGGGTGTTTCATATTTTAAAACTTCCATATATAATGATTCATCTTCATGCAGTTAATTCACAAGCGAACAGTGTGGTGTCATAATATCTCATGTACGTAAGACTTTTTAGCCTGCACCTAGTGTCCTAATGGCTATACTATGAAGGTGTATGATAACTTATGCAACGTCTATTTAGTTCATCACATTAGTGATGATTTTCCATATGCATTCCAGAATTCTTTGGCTTAATATGCCTAATCTCGTTATTCATTTATATCTTTTAATGTTACATAGCTAAGGCAGCCTTCCACATTTCTGAAGAGTTTTAATGTACTATCTATTCTAGATTGTAGAAAAGATTTCTCTTTCAGGTGAGTAGAAGTAGAAGTTTATGCTGATGGTATTTCGAAGAAAAATGAGGGCCTCACGATCAAACCATCCAGCTCATAGAACTAGTTGATCAAAACTAATAGTTTATTTATATACTAGTATTGAGTCATTGTAACTCCTAGGATTTCTCTGTTGAAATATAGTATATTTTTCTAATTCTTAAGTATTATTTTTATGGTATGGTATTTGAAACCAATAAGGCGAATTCTCTACCTCTGTATAATTACATTTTTTACCCCACTTAAACGTTTTCAACAAAATAATAATGTATTCTGGTTGTTAATACCTACGTTAATATTTCTTGTTTTCTCATTCTTCCTAGCCTGTGGTAAAACTTACTATGAACCGATATAATAATGTATTTTCATACACGAGGTAAGTTCTAATCTTTATGATTCGAATTATTACTTAGTCATCTTTTATCTAAATTTTGCATATGGCTGAGTTATTGAAGTGTCAGATACAATTTATGTGTATCGAAACTCAGTTAAATTTTTAGTACCCTTCAATTTCTCATTGAGCTTATTTGTACGGCTCATATGTAATCAAAGTAATAACCAGCTATTCATTTTCATCCACTTATTATTGATCAGATTAAGTAATTGTAACTGATCACCAGAATGCTGTCTAGTAAAGTAGGCTGAAAGAAAGCTAGGGGCAACCAAACCAAAACATGACGCCAGTCCATGAAGTCATTGATAACTGGACTGAGCCATGTTAATAGGTCTAGACTACCTGGTTGTATTCCTCGTGATGGTCGTAACCGATGGCTGGAGACTTCGAATGACATGGCTTAAAATTATTTGCACTGGTGCAGGTGCATCCATTCTTTGTCTTCTAAATACCAAGCGTCTGAATTCTTCATGAATTTCCTTTTTTTCTCTTTTTATTTATTTCATTGGTTGGTAACTCCATATATTTGATCTGTAATCTTTTCCATTACCAATAATACTGTTACTATCTCTACTGCTATGGGATTTGAACTGACAACTTAATCTCTCTATGTTAATGTAGTATGGCAACTGATGTACGTACTTACCAAGTTCTACGTTCTAACTGACTGACTAAGATCTTCGTTTCCCGAACTTTCTGTAAATAAGTTTTTGCACCGTAATTTTGTTAGCACTCCCAATTAGTCGTTTTACCCTTGTCTACTAACAGTTTTTGTTATATCAAGCCATATGACTTGCATCAATTAGCTGTACAAGTGAAATACTCTGCCGTTTCATATTAACAACTACCACTATTATGTTATCATTGAATTATGTAAAAACCCTGTAGTGTGGTAATTTAATGTAATTCCATTTTTAACTCAGAAATCGGATAGATAATAGCTTTTATTTTTGCAGAGTGATAAATTATACACCAGCCCAAAATAATGAGTATAGACATTGCTATACTAAGTGCTTGTGGTACTAAAAGCACTTTGAAAAAGTTTGATTTTTCTTAGATATTCCAGATTCAACCTAAAATATTATCATCTTCGCAAAAGACTAGTTTGGGTATAATAATTTATCACTCTTCCTAATACTAATTATGGTGTACAGCTGTATACCGAAAAATATTTCAAAATCATAAACAAACGTGGTTAATTTCAAATTTCTAGTGCCGATGGATGTTAATATCTCCTTTTTCTAATGATTTCAAATTTATCTCCCTCACCAACATATACAGTAATTCACATGATAATCTTTTGCGCAATATTGAATGCCTGGAGAAATATGCACTTATGTTCCCTGCTACCGTGTTATTCGTAAAGGATGTCCGTGACAAAAGTGAACAAAATGAAATTTGTGAATGGAGCTATTACTGTCGGGGTCACCGTTTGAGAAGTATAGACTGTATAGCTATTCATTACTCGTCAGAAAAGCGCCTTATAAAGGTGAGTGATGCAAGTTATAAAATTTTGGGGCTAAATAACATGTATGCAACACTATGCACTTTTATTTTTCAGTAGACAGATCCACTAGTACTCATGATCTTTGGTTTTACTACCCTTAAAAATCTGAAAATTATTTTGAATCCACGTTTTAAGTCTAATTTTCGTACGTATTTATCCAGTTACTACGCTCTATTTTACATATATGTAGTAGATTTGAAAGCTGATCCGAAAAGTAAAAGAATTATGTGTAAATAGTGCAGCAGTTATACATATGTGCAATAGGTGAACTTTATTACCTTTTTTACTTGAAGCCATAGTTTAGTCTATCGTGTGGGAACAAACTATTCACTCTGATAGTCAACTTTTGTTAATGTTCGTCTTCACACAGTAGGTATGTTATACGGCGTATTTTGCAAAGTATTTCTAGTAAGGACCAAACTTAAACTTACTAAAAAACATTATCTGAGGTGGCGACATCCACAATCGACTTAACGACGAACTCGAATTGACTACATTTACATCAGCCGCCGATGAAGAGGCTAAATAGAGAAATGCTGTTTATTCTGTTGAACATGTCTAGACTGTGATAATGCTCTGGTACGAGCCCGTACTTGTCTACATCTCAGACTTGAAAAAGCCATTACAAGAAGACCCTTGCAGTTCAAATTAACGATGCAAAAGTCAAGAATCTATCTCAAGAACAACCAAAGCAGTCAGTAAGTGGTAACAAACCCGAGGAAGTTCGGGTTTTGGAAATGACAGTGATATCTACCAGTAATTCGAACCAAAAAGTTAATAGAAATCAGTGGATTTCTGAGATATCTATTGAACTGATACATGCTCGGAAAATCATCCCGTCTGGCTCCACACGTGATGAGGAGCGCAGGCTGATAAGAAGCCTACGTAACGATTGCAAACAGTAATGGGCAGCGAAAGCAGTAGAGATGAAAAAGGCAGCGGCGATAGGTAGAAGTAGACAACTATTCAGACTTATCACGGAAACTGGTACTAGGAATTCGACTGTTAGTGAGACCTCTGCAAAGAATGGGCATATTACTCATTCTCAATCCAGGAGATTGGATCAATGGGCAGTACACTCCAGGGAGATCAGCGGGCTCTGATAGATTGTCCATTAAAATTTTTAAGGACGGGTGTGCAGTTTTAGCAGTTAGATTGACCGAGATCTTAGGTAGAATTTGAAAACTGGACGAAATCCTATCCGACTTGTCTCAATCACTAATTGTCCCAGTTTATAAAAACTGAAAAAAGTCCTCTTGTGGCAGTCACAGAGGAATCAGCGTCTAAAATGTTAGCCTCTATAATACGAAAACGCCTAACTGGAGCACGTGAAGATCAAACTCGAAAAACCAGGATGATTTCAGACCTTTACATGGCTGTAAAGACCGGCTATTCACACATCGACAGGTCCTAGAACGCAGAAACACATTTAGGCGTCCGACAATAGTTGTCTTCCTGGACCTTAAGGGGGCATTCGACTCTGTGGATCGTGAGCTTCTGTGGCAGTGTGTCATTAAAAGGTGTACCAGAGAAGTACATTAACCTTATACAAGCTCTCCACTCGAACACCACTGGTCGAGTGAGAGCTTATGGTGGACTGTCATCTGAATCGATGACTTAATATGGTGTCCGTCAGGACTGTCCATTCTTATTAACCTTTATCTTTGACATACTTTTAGACATATTCATTATATGACTTTACAAGAGTGGACCTTCCATCAGGAGATTCATTGGTTGACTTAGAATATGCCCATGACATAGTTCTTCTTGGTGAAGACTCTGACAAAACACAGTCTTGTAAATACTTTAAGCAACAATGCAAACATGTTCGGGATGCAACTCCCCCCT